TTCATTCTCTCATCGTTGTATCTTCTTTCATGGTTGTATCTACTGCAAATCCTGGCTGTTGTGTGTAAGTTGCAGCGGTTTTAAAAGGTCACGACGAGCTTGTCCCAATAAATATTTTTTCTGCAAATGGAATGTGTTTGATATAGGAGATTAATAAATTTTCATTACTGTCTTTTTCAGGGATAGTATCGTCACAGGCCGATGCTCGATCGAGATCGTGGAGAACTGCAATGGTTAATGGGGCTCCGGCTCAAAGCAGGAGTAGGAACGGAGTGGTTTTACTGAGTAAGAGTCTGACATTTCATCTCGCCTCACCTAAGACGTCAGAAATCATTTAGTAATTTTCCCCCTCAAAACGGGCTCAATTTTTTTTTAGTTTTTTCTAGGATAATTTTCTTGATTCCATTATGAGGAAAATTTATGTTCGAAATGTATATAAAACAACTTAAAATTAGAAACTATAAAAATCTAAATTCGTAGTTAAAAACTCACTTTCTTTAATACACACTTGCATGGCCGCGTAATCGAACTTGAGAAGTTCATGACCTTCTATCGAGGCTCTGGGCTATCACGACGCATAAACCACTTATAGGTTGTAAACAGATACATTCGATATCTTAGTAATTATATATATGTATGTGTGTGTGTTTGTGTGTATGGGAAGATGATGTATGATCGACAGTGTTGATGACAAGAAAGTATGGTTTTAAGCTTTTCGTGTTATGGTTTTGGATTTGTATAGTTTCTAAATGTTGTGGTGGCCCGAAGGTTTAAGACGCCCGCTTCTCATGCATGAGGGTACGCGTTTGAACCTACCAACAGCAAGTAACAATGTGATTTTTTTTAAGATTATCTAGACACCACTGACAAACGTTGAAAAAAAAACATCGTGAGGAAACCTAAGTTTATAATTTCTAATTATAAGTTTAAAATACCCAATCCGTATTGAGCTAGCGTGGCGATCAATGCTCAAACCATGTCCGTGTGAGAAGAGGCATTGCTCAGCAATGGGTACTTATAGGCTGTTGATAATGAGTTCCTAATTAAACATACCTTTTTCTTTACTTGGATCCCTTCGTTGCTGTAATAATCACAAATGTGATTACTGAGCAAAGCATCCCAGATTCGACTTTCTTATT